TTTTATCGGGTTTTGAGAAGTTATTACTATACTAACTTTTTTAAACAGACGAGAATTAGATCTTATTTTTGGCTATGAAGTCCTACAGATCTAATGAAACCTTCTATACAGCTTTTTTTATTTCACAATGATTAGTTTTCATTTTTTTAAAAAGTACTCTAAACTGTATAAATAATGTAAAATCAATTGAACTTATTAGCCAATCAGACAAACTTCTGCCTATGATTACAATATCTTTATTAAAAAACTGCTACATCCGGCTGAGTTTTCTAAGTTCCAGTTAAAATAAACACCGCTGGAGAAAAAGCAGCTTCCGATATTTGGAATTTTTGTGTTCTTTTTTACAGTATGTAATTAAATCGTTACTATAATAAACTCTAACTCGACGATCACACAAAATAGATAATTCGTAATTACGTAACCATATCAATAAGCTCTAACGATTACAAATCGAAAAATACTTTGCAAGTACATAACCATATCGATAAGCTCTAGCGATTATGAATCGACAACTATGTAATTTTACTACACTCTGGCATACCGAAAATCTTGAAATCTGATTCATAGTTCAGGAGAGCTGTGCCACCAACCTTGACACATTTTTGGTATGCTATACTCTGTTTATATATGTACAGTACCATTACTAATCATTCTAAGCATCTATAGATGCAGACATATGCTAGTGCCGTAACTGATCCTAATGTCAATTAGATGTAACTCAAAGACGTGATGATACATCAAAAAGCTATAATTGATGTGTGACATAACACCCAACGTGTGACATAACACCTGACATATGACATAACACCCGACGTATGATGTAACATCTGATGTGTGCCGTAACATCGATGTGTGCCGCAATACCGAATAGATGCAAACTTATTAGTTCCTGTAGTTGTTAGATGAAACCTTGAGGTTTCGCGCTGATTAAAGTTGAAACCTAGTTTGACTTTCGTCAACTAAAAACTCAAATGATGAAACTAGTGAAAGGTAATGAAACTGATGAAACTGCAAAGAGTACAAACTAATAAAAGATGAGAAATAGAAGAAAGTGTAAGTAAAAGTGCCACTAGCTCTCACATTTATGTTTATATAAGACTAAAATTTAAAATATACAATTGTATCAATTTTAATAAGTAACTTAAGAAGTAATTGATCAATTAACGTTAAGTAAATTAGCTCAATTAAGATTATTCTACATATTTCTGTCTATCGATATCAATTAAAAAATTATTACGCCTATTGGCTAAATCAATAAAAGACTTTTTATTAATAAATTAGCACAGATAATAAAAAATAATAAGAGGTATGTACATACAGATCTTCAATTATAAAATTTCTGTAATTGGCTTTTCAAATCTAAATATACAAGCCGGGTCAAGCCAATAAACATCTTCAGCATTAAACATAGATGCTAATAGCTTATTTGCTATTTATAATTTATGTAATTAGCTTTTTAAAACCTAAATATACATATAAGTCAATAAACATCTTCAATAATAAATATAAATAAAAAAGCCTCATTAATGATTTATCGACAGGTAAATAGCTAAATTATAAAGATAATTTTATTATTTTTATTAATAGATTAATTTAGACCAAATTTCACTAGTAATTTTTTAGCGAGAGAAGTAGGGATTTACTATTATCATAAAGTTTCATCAATTCAGTTTTTTTTTTTTTTTAGCGGAAGCACCAAGGGGGTTTTTTTTTTAGCGCTAAGGTTCGAATTTGGGTTTCATCTTTGGTCAGCAGAATTTGAGGTTTCACCTTTCGCCAGAGGTTTCATCATTTTGGGGCTTAGGTTTCGTCAATCTGAATCACCAGGTTTTATTTGACAGTTCTGAATTTTGCTACCACGATTATGTTTATCAGATTTAACATTCAGTTCATCAATACTTCCAACTTTAATTAATTTAAAGATATTAAGAATCCAATATTAATGTTCGAATTTTCATGTTTACTTGACGAGTTTCGTAAAAGAACCAGGCAACAATCATACTTTGAATGATTTATTAGGCTATGCAAAGTTGATTTTTCATTTTGCATTACATGGATTTCAAAATTAGAGACAGACAGATTTTTTTTTTTAATTGCAAATAGAATAATGATCATATTTAAGGTTATATTTGCACAACAAGGAATCAAAAAATTGGTCAGACAATTATAGGAAATTAAGGCCTCCATTGGGTGATATAGCAAAGAAAAATAGATGTCAAAAATCGAACAATTGATCTAAAAAAAAAAAAATTTTGAAAAATTGAAAAAATAGGATGGCAGGTAATGCAAAACAAATATTAAATCAGTATAATTTTTAAAACTAAGTATGTTACATTTTAATTGGTATAAATTCTGAACTCAGGTACGTTAATTTTGAATTAATGGTTATTTAAGAGCAACGTATAACACATACATTATCTTCAATCTTTGATTATTGTTATACTTGCCAGGTAAATTAGTTTACTGACAATCACTTAATAGACACCACATTTTACCAGAAGTCTATTTTACAAATTGTCAAGTAGACAACTTAAAAACATGATGGGTTTCATGCACATTTTAAATTTTATATAAGGAAAATCAAACTAGTATTGCTCAACTGAAGGCAATAACATTTGCAATATAAAAAAAAAAAAAAGGCCTCTTTCCTATTTTCTCCCATGCGACAATCTTTCTCAAAAAAAAAAGAGCTTCATGTTGAATTTTAATTTTCTGTTCTTGTTAATCATCTCACATTAAATTTAATTAATACACATATCATCACTAATTATAATCCAAGATGAAATTCTTAAAATTATGCCAAATTGAAGGGCTACGAACCAATATAATTAATATTTAGTGTGTTTTTATATTTTCTTGTTAAGACTTATTGACCTACTAAACATGTTGAATAAGCATTTAAACTAAAATTTAATAATGTTAACAGTTTGTTGAAATTACAAACTTAATCAAATCAGTTGAAAATTATTTAGCCAAATTTTATTAGATGTTTCAAAATTATGAAAATAGTAATAATCGAAGTTAATCAATTATTATAGATGTAAGTTTTTTACATAATTTTCAAAGTAATCAAAAAAAGCATTTTTATTAATTATTAACTTTACTGAAATTTGCTAAAAAATATTTAATTCAAAATTATTTATTTGAATTATGTTATACAGTAGTAGCTCACAGGTTTTCAAATAGTTTAGTTTTCAACAATTTAGTCAGTTTTGTAAGCGATCTTTCATATTACTAATAATTTAAGACCAAATTCATTAGAAATATTAAAACCCAAAATATCATAGAAATAACAAAGATGATACGTACCATTATATTAATTGTCTAATTCATTTAGGATGATATCAACAAGACTTTCCAGATCAAAATCCATATCAACACTGCTTTCAACAGTATTATCGCTTGTATCACTTGAGGCATTAGTTGAAGCTTCACATGATATAAAATCATTTTCTTGAAAGATGAGATCTTTTAAATTCACGGTTTCTTCCAAAATCAAATCAGCATAAGTTAACAGATCATCGTATGTATAATTATTTTCATTTTCATCTTCCTCAGCTTTCTCATCTTTAATAAAATTATTGATCGATGCAAGATTTACCATTTCACACAATTCATATTCAGTCAATTCAGCATCCAAACAGCTAAGTTCATTTCTAATATTTGTCATGTAACATGACCTAACTTTTGCTATTTCCTCAAGCTTTTGAACATCAAGACGTACCCGTTTGTCACCAATAAACCACTTAAGGGTCGAAAAGCTTTTTTCATAATTGGCCTGAGATTAGTGATACAAATTGAAGTTAAAAAATCGATTAGTTGAACAAGTTGACAACTAATCGATTCCATTTTTTAAACCAACTTAATCGATTAGTTGATTAGTTGACGAATCGATTAATCGATTTGTTATGACAAATTGATTAATCAGTTTGTCAACTAATTGACTAATCGATTAGTTGACAATCAATTAATCGATTCATCAACTAATCGATTAATTAATTAGTTAATATATCAACTAAATCAAACATTTAGATAGTAGCTGATCTTTTATAAATCGAGTTCTCAAGTGATTGAAAAAATTTTGTCAATTTGTAACACTATCTGAGATGGTATAATGCTAAAGAGTTTCTGTGCAAGTTCAGAAAGATGGCATGGTTTGCTTTTTATAGATCCCCACTATAACATAAGGGTATCAAGCCTATGAACATAAGATAGATCGAATGGTTTTTTCCTAGCATCATAATAACGAAACTGGGATATTAGTTTCTTGCATTCTTGCTCAGTATGCAAATAACTTTTCCATATGGTTGAAGCAGTTATAGCAGCATTACGGAATGCCTCATTTTTAAGCCCTTTTCCTAATTAAAAAAAAACTGATCAAATTTGGTAACGTAATAATTAGCTAAATATATCAAAAAAATTATTTTATACCATGATAGAATGGATGAAGATAGTAACATAATAGATAACATGGGTGTTAAAATTCTACGTAACGTTGGTTGAACAGTTGAATCATAACAGGTTTAAATGGAATTGAATCAGGAATATGATAGATAGCAATTGCCAATTTAATTATGTATATAAAACAGTCTGCTAAAGACGCAGAGCCACCCTCTAAGACATTTATACAAATTTTTATTGGTTTTCAGATTGAATGAACTTGTCGGCAGGTGATAAAAAAGCCATCATCATGTAACAAATTAAAAATTTATATATCTGTAAATGACCTGGGATGTTCAAGCAACATCTATCCATACCGGTATAATATATTAATTAGTATTACATAACTATTTAGGAAAAAAAATTTTGCATACCTAGTCAAATACCAGACGCACAACTAATATAGAATTTGTAGTATTATATAAAGACCCCCAATGAGTTGGGCATCATGTTTCTAGACCTTCAAACTTGATTTTCATATTAGTTAACCCTTGTCACAATAATGCCAACTTTTGAGGCGATTTAGTAAAAAATTTTATTAATTTTCCACAAGGATTAATAAATGCCTTTATTTCAGCAATTTTAGTTAGATCTACAGCTATCAAATTAATGGCATGGGCGATGCAACGAATATTCAAGATATGCGGGTATTGTTTTTGAATTTTTTCTCTTGCAAGTTTGCAATTAGAGGCTGAATCTGTAACAACTGCTGCGAATCTTTTAGGTCCAATTTGTTTAATAATATTCGAAATTTATGAAGCCAAAAAATTGCCAGTATGAGACTTTGAAGAATAATTTTTTACTGCAATTAAATATTCTCTTCGCTCCATAGTTGTTACAATATAGCTAAATATAGAATCTCCACGCTTCGAAGTCCATCCATCAAGAGCTATAATATAAAAAAAAAATTATTAATATGCAAAATTTCTGAATCGAATATGATATTCAGAATCGATTCTCATTATAGCACTTTGCAAAAAGATATGCCCTCATGATTTCTGTGATGATCGACGAAAATTTAAGTTTTAATTGTCTATTAATTTATATTTTCGATCAATTATCTTTATATTTATTTGAAATTGGTAATATTTTTAAAATCCACAG